CATTATAAATTGTGTCGGCCACTAGAAGTGGGTGTTTGAACCACATTAGCCATGCACCAACAGTCCAAGGCTCTTTTCCTTCTTTCTTCTCCATCATCCCACCCACCTGGTGCGACACTCGTTCTTCGACACCCGACCAGAGGCGTCAAGCACAAATCGCGGAGCTCTGTTAGGTGCTGTTTAACTTATGTTACTTGGCTACACAAACAAACTTTGCACCTGAGTGTCTCTGCTTCCACCCTCAGCGCGTTCGGCCTCCACCTTGCTTCAGAGAGGGATAGAAATGCTGTGGCCAGAGGTTCTGTCTCTCTTCAGCCCAGCACCACACACACACACGCACGCACGCACGGCACGGCACGCACGCGCGCGTAGCGGCTGGTTCTGCACTTGGACTGTTGAGCAACATTTACCATTTTAGGGGCCGTCGGGTCACCGTGACACCATCGCGTTGCTCCTCTAAAGTGTTTACTCAAGGCTGGCCCCGGACTTCTTTTATTTGTTCCCTGCAAGATACGGCTGTGATGCTCATTTCTCCAGAGAGTAATGTAAACCACTCTGGGCTCGCATCATGGCGCTCTGCTGCAAAAAAAGGACAGAGTCCCACCACTCACTCCCAAACACAAATGTACATAAAGGAAAACACCACCGGTTGATTCTGTTTTTAGGATGGGTTTGTGTTGGCCCTGTGGTTGTTAAAAATAGGCATGCTAACTAGGGATGGGATTTACCAAAAATAAATACATACGTGTTCAAATAAGTATAGAAAACCAAGTCGAATTTGTCAAATGTATTGAACTGTTGATCACCAGTTTGAGCAGTTGGACAGCTATAAGCCTACAGCTTTCATGCGTAAAACATAACTTGTTTTTTAAATGAAAGAGGGATCATACCACGAACACATAACGGGGTTAGGGTACGTAACCCTATTACAACAGAGATAACAACCTTATAACAGGGCCTAATGCACAGAATGCAGCTATTGAATACTCATTCTTGTTTAAGAGTATGAGCATGTCTACTCAGGGGAGAGGCGGGTGCGGAGGCGATTCACAATCAGGCCAGCTGTAGAGAAGACCCTCTCAGCTGGAATCTGGGCATAAGATGAGGTTTGAGTCTGTATGATCTGTGTGTAGGGAGGGGCAGCAGCCATATCGTTAGCTAGATCTGATGGATTTGGACATAAACGCAAATGAAGTATAACTGGACGCGAGAGAGAGAGATCAGCACCTGCAGCTCTGCCCGCTGTGAGGGACCGATGAGCGGAGCAAAACACACCTTTAGACCTAACACATTTAGCTATGGCACTGTATACATTGAATTATTCCATTTGATCATATGTAATCAACTTAGGCACCCCTCCCAAAAAAAAAAAAAATTATTCATAACTCTTATCATATTTGAATAATTTCGAATATTCGATGAATCGTTCCCATCCCTAATGCTAACCCCTTATCTCTTATACTTCCTCTACTGATTGTTCCATAATGTTTCTTTGTTTTGTTTCTGTTTTTTAGATGACAATAAACAGTGATCTGCTCCTCAATAATGGCAAAGCAAAGGATTCTGGTAAGAAACTAGTCATTTCCAGCTTCTCAAATATAAATATGTGCTACATCTCTTTCTTTTGAATTTGTCAATTTATCAGGTTTGGTGTCAGTAGTGTTGATTGGAAAGAACCTGCATTTTATTTTCAGATATTTATTATAAATATTATCTTTAAAGGGTAGGTAAGAATGGAGAAACCAGCTCGAGTGCGCTAGAATTTGAAAGTACGCAGCCGAAAAAAATCTGCCCCTTCCTTCAGACTTCCTTACAGAGCCCCTCCTTCAACACACACGAACGCGCACATGACCAATGAGTGCTCGAGATAAGTTTGTGCACAGATGGAAGGCTGACAGGCAGGTAGGCCATCCACTTATTTTAGCCGGGCCGGCTCAGATGATTGGTCGTACTTTTTACAGCGCCTCGGCTTCCACAGATTGTATTTATTGTCAAAGCATTTAATGTATTCATTGCTATCGGGATGTTAAGAGCATTCCATGGAATATAACAAAAAGTGTTTCTGAAGTGAATTACCTACCCCACCTTTAATGCTCCTAAACCTATATGCACAGATTAATTTGGTTTAGTTTATTAATATTGCACTCGTCGTCTTCATCAGGGAAACTGAAGTGGGTAAAACAATCGCACCATAGTTCATCCCCAGTAGGACTCCATGAAGACAATGGAGCCATTAGTGGGACCGTATAGAGCCACTCGCAGTAGTGCTGGGATGAGGGCATGTTATACAATGTACGCTTTCTTTTACTGGAGAGCTCTTAGCTGTGTCTATTTTATTATAAACAGTTTTCCTTGCGAGCAGCACATCTTTTTTTATTTGGGAGGATGACCTCAGTGGATATCTTCTCCTCTAATCACTAAGGATTTTTCCACTGGAGAGTCTGTGCGAAATCATGAGCTCTGTACACATTATTTGAAAGTATTAAGGATCAGAGAATGGAAAATAAAGAGAGTGGAAGAAACATGTCCTGAAAAGTCCAAAAGATACAACCTGAAAGATGGTTAAACAGGGGGAGTTAAGTCAAGCAAAATAAAACGTCTGGAACAAAACCTAGAGAGGATGAAAGGAGGATTTGTAGAGGGCTTTTTAGGTGGACGAGGATATAAGGAAAGCAGGATAAAATATAAATCTGCTCAATTCAAACTGAATAGTGGAAGAGATCCAGACTGTGCTGTATTTTTCTGTGATTGTAACTCCCCCCATGCATTATGTCTTTACAGCACCTGAGAAGAAAGTGGTATTGGAACAATTCAACCGAACCAACTCTGTACGCGATCGAATGCGTAAATTCACTGAAGCAACCCAGAGCGCAAACGTCCCAGCTCTGAGGAAAGCTCCTCTGAGGAACGGCACCTCCTCCGGCAGCAGCCAGGCGAATCTGTCCAGAGCCACCGAGATGTTTACACACACAGGAGCATCCCTCAGCACATCTGGAGACAGGCCAGAGAGGCCACGTGTGGACTCCACATGTCACACCTCCGCAGCATCCCAGAGTCAAGCCGTACCTCAGCCAAGAGGTGTGGCCAGTAAACCTCTGTCTTCAGCCGGCCAATGGCAGAGCTCCGTAGGCGGGACGAGGCATCCAGCAGAAAAAGATGCGCATGCCTCCAGTAACTCAAAGGAAGACGGGACCCCAGGGAGAGCAGCTGAGCAGCAGGTCACCCAGGGAGAGGCAGACCCCGACATGAAGACTTTCCTCACTATCGAGATCAAGGGTGGGCGCACCACCTCCACCTCTACGTCCTCCCCCAGGGGCAACATGGTGCCCATCACCAACATGACCCCACGCATCACCACTAATCCTCTGGGGCAGAGAGGAGGTAAGAGCACCTACCTTACAGTGTTACAATAACTCTCAAATAACTATTTTCCAAAATGTTAATTCAGGATTAGAAGGGCTTCTGAACACATGTGTTTGTTAAACCACTTAATACACTATTATTTCTAGGCGACACTTGTTTACCTTTTTTTTCCTTTTTTTTTTAAAGCTCAATTACAACATGCAGATTAGCAGCGCTGTGTTTTAGGTCATTTGAGTCTTAATTTAGCGACGTTATGTCTTTACTTGCTAGTATCAATCCTTAGATCATAAAGGAATCCCAGTCGCTGTGGGAGGCGACCGGCACCAAGGAAACGGTCACATGTGGGCCGATGACAAGCAGAGCGCGTGGATGAGTGGGGATAGATGTTAGGGCTGAATATGAAGCTGCGTGATTGAACTGAAGGGTATTTGTTATGGAGTAGCGGAGTTAGTGCAGTGTGGAGGGGTGAGGTCAGGAGTCAACAGAAGCGAGTATATTTGGGACAAAGGAGACAATAATTGGCTCTCAGGCCAGACTGAATGGTGATACTGTAACAGTGCAAGTGAAGGAGGCTGCTCGCCCACACAAGGCTTTGTTTGTTCCATGCTGTATATATTGTCTCCCCCCTACACTTATCTAAGACACTTTCTTTAACCATCCTTGGTGTGCTTTGAAATTAGAGATATTTTTCTGGTAATCCAGATTATTGATGACTTTGATTAGTCTCAGAGTTAACCATTGGAGTCCCAGCAGTTTAAGACACTGAGGTTCTCAATTTGAATGTAGCATTGTCACTTTTATTGTGGTCTACTATCAGAAAAGGTGTCCATGCATTTCACGCTTCATTTTGTCTTACTGTTATTAAATCAGCATAACAGTAAAATACAGAAAATAAGTTATGAAACGTGAGAAAATAAAACAAAACATACACCCCTGGTTGGGCGTAAACCATCAAAACGATTCCTAATGGAACAAAATACAAGGAAGTTTGCTAATTAGTCAAATAAAAAAAGATGGAACAAGAAAACGTATGAATGTCACTCTGCAGCAGATCAAAACATTGTCATTCCTCTGAAACAGATCAGAAATACTGCTTGGCCCTATCAGTGGTATTCAGCTCTGCTTTTTCTAAATGATGTATTCTTCAATTCATACTTACAAGTATACTTTAAATACTAAAGTAGGTCAAATGTTGTAGTTCTTAGAGAAATACAACAAGTATTCAAAAAGGCATATTTGTAGTGTGTGAGTTTCTGTATTGTTAACTAACTTAAGGCACATTAAGTAGCAGGACAGTCTCCTACAAACACATAGTTCCTGAACATGTACGTACTCAGCAGCACAGTACATACTTACAGTACAAGCAGGGCTTTATTAATTGCATGACACAAAAACATGAATAGCTGAGATGTCAGTGTGTTTCAGAAGCAGAGCTGCTCCAGCTGCTATAACTGTACAGTCCAAACAAGACGTGTTAGGTTTCAGCTCTTCCCTGAAACCGGGACTTCCAAACCAAACTGTTTATGTAAGACTAAAGCTGAACCTGTGTGATTACACCTCTTACAACGCCCCCCCCCCCTCCACTGACACATACTGGCAGCCCCACTGGGCTCCTCCACGAGGTTCACAACGGTTTTTTCCAGCTCCGTTTGCTTTAATGGCTTTGGGCTCCTTTTTTGGGAACCTGCCTGTCTCCCACTGACCAAAGACAGGCTGGGATTGTGTCTCCGGTTTCTCTTAAAAGCACCTTCCCCGAGTCTTAAATGTAAACTATGCTGAGCTGGTGTGTGTCAGTCTTGTATTGTATGATATAGCTTGGATGGAGGCTGGGGGGTTTGAAAGCATGTCGCAGGGAAATCCATGTGCAGGTAAATAAAGAGAGATGTTTATGTTAAAGGTGACGTCATCCACATTTTCTCGCCTCTCTCATTAGCCAAGGGAACGTGTTGTTTATGACACTATGGCAGCTTATGTAACTGACTAAACACAGTGCAGGACCACATATGAATCTTTTTTGATGTTCTTATATTCAACCCATAGCTTTGCAATGTTTCTCCATGTTCATTTTGGTCTTCACTTTTATCTGTTTCAGAGTTGACCCTCGGCCTCAGAGCTACACCGTTCAAGATCTCCTCATCCAGCCTCTCCTCCGGATCCTCCATCAAGGTACAGTCTGCCATTGTAACGTCTATTCTGGGAAATGATCATAACATTGAGGCTTTGCAGAATCTGGAGACGGAACCTGTCAAACATGGATCAAAACCACATTCCCAGTTGGATCCAATTTTGTAGATTAACGCACTGTTTTTACCCTCTCTTGCATTTCCAATGGAGTCAATTGAAGTCCACTGTGTGTTCGCTGCGTCCCTGTCACAGCCATCACCTATAAAGGCCTGAAACGCAAGTGAGCCGGGACAGTGAGAGACAGACAGAGGGTGTACAAAGGAGGGAGACGAGGGAAGAACAGTGTTTATCAAACACAGAGTGGGTAGCCAGTCACATCTGTCCTTGTAGGGTATGTGAAGGAGAGAGAGCAGAGGGAGGTGCTCCGGGCATTCCTTGTTTTCTCTCGGCAGGCCATGCCCGCTGACATTTATCTGGGAAATGTTTCCCCGAGGACACCTGTCTGTCTTCATGCACACTGATTGTTGTCCTTCTGCATCAAGACACATGTTGACAGAAGTTCTTCTTCGCGTCTATTCTTAGGGGCCAATGCAAAAGATTCATCTCGTGTCAGAGTCTTACCGACCCCCTCCCCTCTTACAGTGACCTTGGGGGTTAGAAAGAACAGCTAAACTCCCATTTGCCTCGTTCCTCAACCTCCTCGCTCCTCCATGAAAGGAAATGTCCTGGGGAATGGGGAGTGGGGGACTGAGGGGGTGAGGAGAGGAGAAGTGGTGAACTATTTAATCTTTAATGGCTGTGTATTCCCCCCCTGTGTGGAGAGCAGCTGTAATCTGGTAATGGGATCACGGAGCTGGTTAATTACGGCTGGGAGGGGGCTCTACGAGGCTTCGGGGTGAATTGAAGGTGTTTGAATGAGACTGTCTCCATCAGTTAGGCTCTTGCTGAGACGCACAGACACAGGGGCCGGTACACAGTGAGATAACACAGCAGTCTTTCTTGAAAAGGGATCTAGCGGCAAAAGATTGGAGGCGTGTGACTGAGTGGATAGAGATTGCGTTTATACTCGTCTGAGTGATATTACGACCATATCATAACGGCATGCAGGTAACGCCTTGTGCTAACATGTGAATGATTTCTTTTTTTTAGTATGATGTATTTTAGATGTGGTTGAAGAATCCAGATCATTTTTCATTTAAAATAGTTCATTTACCTCTGTGGACCTCTCACTGACTGCATGCTAGCACCAATAGGCTGGGTTTCACATACATGGTTATGATCATCATTGTATAGGCTCAACATGAATGCCTCCATTGATGAAACCACAAGACTATGACAAGTAGGCCTTCATCTCTTTTCGTCACTTAGCTGATATTTCACCAGCTTCCACCAGATCTGCTCAAGTTTCCCCTAAAGTACACTGAGCCTGAGTGACTTGGCTAATGAGATTTTAAAAACAGCAGCAGACACTGTTAGTTAGCATCGACTAAAGGGGAGGCAGCTTGGTTACCTACAGACTGATCCAGAGACCACCTGCTCTCTGGCTTTACCTGGTTTAGTGGAAGTTCTAGGTTGTGTGAGATGTCAGGGATTTATTGTGAATCCTCTTAAATAGGAGACACAATGTAGGGCCGATTATGGCAAAAATCATAATCTCGATTATTTGGGTCAATAATTGTAATTGCGATTATTCATTGACTTTGAAAACATCCATTTATTGGAGAAAAAAAATGTCAACAGCATGTTTTTAACAGTTGATTACCCTGAACTTTAAGTATAATTCAACTAAAATAAAAAAAACATTAATAAAAAAAAAAAAGTAATAATAAAAAATTACAGTTTTATTTTGATTACGTTGTTTTCGTAATCGTTGCAAGCCGTAATCGCGATTTTAAAATACGATTAATTGAGCAGCCCTAGCACAATGTATACAGTTGTGTTCATTATAAGAAAAGGAGTGAGTAGATATTTAGTGTCGTAAAAAGAGTTTTAATCTGTTTTTCCTGTTTGGTGTTGATCATTGTTGTTTCACAGTTGTTCCCGCTGAGGCTCTGATCTGTTTGGGTGGTCTGGGCTTCTTCTCGGTGGTCCAAATTCAGCACTCATACCCTCCCCTATTTCTTAAATGGTATTCTTTTAAGATTCTAATAAAACACGCTGTTATCGCAATCTATTTAAGGGTCAACAGAGATAAATGTTCTAAGAAGCAATGAAAAGACTTCAAAGCAAATGATAGTGTTGGAGGCCTAGCTGCTCTTTCTTTATTATAAAAGATGAAGAGGAAGTTAATGGTCAAGATGCTTGTTGTTTTCCAGCTCAGTGATGAGAGCTGCTTTCAGACAGGTGAGGCCTGCAGCTGGGTATTGATGCCTCGTTCTCAGTGATCGCAGCTGCCCCTGCTCATCTCAGCTGTCCACTGTGCACGGCCTTGAACACAAATATAAACAATGCCCACAGTGCTGCTGCTGCGTGAACATGGACGCACAGGCCCACACATTGCCTCTCTGTCCCAGGGGGATTGTTAACAAACTGCTGAACCATCACACATGCTGATTACCCAACCAGTTTACATGTGTCATAGACTCAAGCCTCCCTGCAAACTGCGGAGAAAAAGACGTCTAGATGCTGTTTCATTGCCACTTTTTCTGTCATTGCTATGTTGACTTTTCTTCAAACTAAAATTACTGCATTGCTTTATTTTTACCTCCGTTGGAAGCGAGACTACATTATTTCTGGTAACAGTCTGGAAACGACTTGTTTACTGTATAGCAGCAGGGCTCACAATAGCCACAGACGCTGTCACATAAACAGTGTATGCACTTTTTGATTGGTCAGGCTCCTTGTTTTTTAACCTCACTGTTTGCTATGGGTAAAGTGGGTTAATGCTTTGATGCGTGATAAGACTAGGGGTCTGACCCACTTCCCTGCTGCCAGTCACATTTCTCTTCACTTTCTCTGAGTGCCAGTTTCTTCCCGGGAACTATTTTGCTCACCTGTAATTACCAGGAGAGACCATTGTTGCCCTTTGTCACATTGTTATCCCTTATATGTTTTAATATCAGTTTAATGCGTGTGATGTGTTGGCTTGTTATCAAGAGCTACAGATGTATCACACTTGCCTTCCCCTAGTCATAGATACAGTATGCACAGTACTCTTTGTTTTTTTGCATGGTCTTGCATGCTTTTAAAGCATCAGGAGGCATTTAAAAAAATGTTCTTGGGCCTCTTACACAATAACCAATGTGCACACAGACTTCTGTCAGCGCTCTTGGAAAACTCTTCATTTATCACAGAAGCACTTGAAGCATTCACGTGAGCAGCAGCTGGGCAGCTTTGTCAGTGAGCCTAAAACTAAATCTTGAAGTGCTGCGATGTCTTTCCCTACATCCTTGCCCAGAGCCGAGGAGAGCTGGGTCTCGTCTGACGCTCACTTCTTCTCACCCAGCCTGCTGTGTCATAGCCCCGAAACACTTTGTCCTTCACGGACTGATCCTCCCTTTGGACGTCTGCTCTAAGTCAAAGTCATGCAACGCAACTGACCTAATTAGTCACAACACGATCACATTTAGTCAGAAAGCATTTTTATGAGGAGTCAAACACTAACGTATAACTCCGCTTAGCCCGGGCTTAAGGCCACATCTAAACCTTTGCTGCATGCTAATCGGGGTGTGAAGGACAACGGCTCGTGATAAAAGGAAAGTGGAAAGAGGGAGGGGTGAGTTTTCTGAATTGTTGCCTCAACCATTCCCCCCCGGGCCCCCACCAGGACAGACTGGCTCTGTGAAATAATGGCAGGGCAGGAGATAGACATGTCCACGGCACCTGGAAAATGGGGGTGGGACTTCTGCTGTCTGGGAAACGGGATTCGTTTCATGCTCATTGGCTGTGAGGGTGTTGGCCCGTGAAGAGGGCAGATTTGTTGGGGGTATAAAGGACGTGCATTGTTTTGAAAAGGTCTCTGTAGACAGACCAGATCGGATACCCTCTACCTTCACATCTGTGGCCACAACATTTAGATTTTTCTGATCTTACGCCACAACTTCTTGGACACACGTAGATTTAGGCGACTTTGAGCAGTGTAACATTGAGTGCAGCCGGTCTGGCCATGCCTGGAGTGAACCTGGACTTACTACCAGCCTCAGAGGCTCCCGAGGCTTTGGGCAGTCCAGATAGCGCTTGTGCAGAGTCTGGCCTGGAGGAGGAGATCGGTGATCTGCTAGCTCAAGAGGAAGCAGAGCATGAAGAAGAGCTGTTTTGCAAGAGGGAATTTGAAGTAACACTACAGTGTGCAGTGGGGGAGATCCACAGTGACCTGCAGGCCTTTGGGAAGCGAGTGGATGTTTGCCTTAAGGAGGCAGCTGCTCAGGTGGCTCCTCTGGCTGAGGCCCTCGCCCGGCTGCAGGAGGAGAACCTGAGGATGAGCATTCAGCAGGAGAAGCTGCTGAGGCTGGTGGAGGCCCTGTGCAAGGTTATGGGGCTACCTGAGAGCTTACTGCATGAACTGGCCAGCAAAGAAAGCTCACCTACAATTCAATGTGAAAGCGAAATGCCGTCCAGTGATTCTCTGTCGTCTTCCAACGATGCTCCAGCCAGCACATCCCAGGACGAAGCACTTGAAGCGCCTCACGAAACTTCATCCCACATGTTGGAAGATTCTCTATCCAGTGCTCCCCAGGACTCTCAGACTCTTCTGCATAGTCCATCAAGCATTTTCCAGGAAGCTTCATCCTGCCCCAAGGAATCAGACTCTGTATCCGCTGAGACAAGCACACCTCCGACTCCAGAAACGTTGTCTCTCCAACAACCACCCACCTTTGCAACCTGCCGCTCCCTCTCTGCTCCCTCTGGGTTGGAAAGCATTTCTTGCAGCAAAAGCACGGTACTGCTCTCTGATACAGGTTTAGAAAGAAAACCAAACGCCCTTTTTTGTATTCAGATAAGCTGCGTGAAGAATAGGAATGTATTTTTGTTCCTGTGTTCGCATTACATGTGGGTCAGCTGGCTTCAAGTACTTTTGAGTGCCATGCTTGTTCTTGCCCATGTTCTTTTTGACCTGTACTTTCTGACCTTTTCATTGGTTTTAATCTTACAATATGTCCTTAATTCATTTTTTAGAAATAGCCTGACCATCCTCACTGTCAGTCAGTTTTGACACATTGTGTCTATTTGAAGGACATCACTACAGTCTGTCCTGGAGGTATTCCAATCCTTCAACACCATGTGTTTCTGATCCTGGCTCGTACTCATGTTTCTCTGCAGCTCTGCATGAAAGGGCTCATATGTAGTGGATACACTTCATGTCTTAACAGTAACAGTTGCCCTGGCCTATAGTTTGTCACATCATAGATCATCCATCATGCTCACTTTGGCAGGCATCGTATTGATTTAGCATACAACATTTTTCAACAAAGGAGTCATAAATGGAGCTGTTTTACTTGTCCGGTTTAATAACAAAGATTGGATTAAGGTCTTACATCCCGTTGTAAAAATCATTGCACAGTCCTCTTGACTGACATGATAATCTCTCGGCTCTCAAGCTTTGTTTGCTCAATGTACCCTTGAGATCCCATAACAAACACTGTTTGTTTGTATGCACTGGTGACATTTCAAAGGATATTGAGTATTTGCGGCGTAATCTTCAGTTATATAACCGGCCAATGTTGCATCTGCCAATCAGCTGTTCCTGTAAAGGTGGTGGTCTTCTCTTAAATCTTACTTGTGATACCTCCCAATGCCTTTATGCAATGTCAACTATGAAATATGTCAGTTTTTCATAATTCTGCTGCCAGGGACTGTATTGCAGGTTTAAGTCATGAAGCAATACATGTTCAGAGAGATTGTAGCCCTTCTCGTATAACAGCAGAATTAAGCATCCGAGTATCTGAATTAAACACGACGTGAGCGCAGGTTATCTGGGATTTTCTCACCCCACTCACATTCCCACATTGCCTGAATCAGGACCCTTGTTTGTGTCCCAAAGCATTCCTTGTCGGTCAAGTGCCTCTCACTCCAGTCCGTCCCATGTCCAGAAAAACTTTAAAAGCAGTGGCCACAGCTAATCCCACAGCACTGAGGCTGCTCCGGGGCATTGTCCCTCCCTGGTGAAACCTGGGGCCCACAGTGAGGCTGTGGATAGGGACGGGGCCAGCTGTCTGAGCTATATCTGGACGCAACTACAACAAAGGCCTTAAAGCCACATCTAGAGCTCCTAGTCTGCCACAGGCATTCAGCACGATGTATAATATAAGAGTTGTTTTCTATAGGATTTGTGGTCACTTCAAAAGAGCTGGTTGAAAGCCAGGTTTACATTAAAGACCTATAATGTTTATTCTCTTGGTGCTCTACTTCCTCTTCAGCATGCTCCCTCACTCTTACCTTTTGCTCTTACGCTCAGCACTCCTTCTGTGGTGTACATACCATTTTCTCAGAGTTTATATCTGCTAATGCATTGTTCCCATCCTCCAGTCATAATGGTGTACCGTACCTGTCAGATAAACTCTTGCTTCACTGCAGCTCAGTATCATCTGGACACTCACTGTGTCAGTCACACTCCATGGACTACGTTAACAGTATCTTGGCAGAGTGGCTCTCCCACTCATGTGCTCACTGTCACCCTCTCTGGCTGGAAGGCAGAGGGATGGAAGAAATGATGAGATGTGGTGCGCAGGCAGTCTTAATGCAAAAAGAGATTATCAGAGGCAGCCTGCTTCTAACACTCAAGCCTATTATGGCTGCAGTGTGTTTGACCAAAGTCCTCCTGTGCTTATTACGTTCTAAATGTCAGCAAGCTTAAGTTATGTTTTTTAACCCTCATCTATCTTGGGGGGAGGGTACAACTTAAAAGCCTGAGCTCCGGGTTTAGAGATTCTTTCTGCAGGTGCTATGGCAATGCACTTATCCAACTAAGGCAGTGTTTCTCAAACTTTTTCATACCAAGGACCACTTAACCAATAAAAAAACACTCGCGGACCACCTAATTCCACAAATATCCAAAATCACATCGTTTTTCTAGAACAAATTACAAATCGCCTGAAAATGGTACAAACAAGTGGCAACATGTGTGATGAAGGTGTTGCGCTGGGCTATATCATGCAATCGAAAGTGGAACTTAAACTCGCTCCATTGCGGAGGTATTCCCGCGAGAGTGCGGAAAACTTAAATGTATTTATTTATTTCAAATGTGAAATTTTACCAATATACTCACGGACCACTAGGGGGCGCTAGTGGCCCGCGGACCACACTTTGAGAAGCACTGAACTAAGGGCACCATTTTTTTTTAGAGGGGCCCTAGTATGCAAAATGTCAGGTTCATATTGTACTTGTGCCTCTACTGGGACATGTTTACAGGCTTTAATGTTCCAAAAGGTCTTTATTTTTTCTCAAACTGCACCTCTTTCACCCTCTGTCTGAAACCAGAGCCCAGTCTGCTCTGATTGGTTAGCTGGCTGGCTCTGTTACATAGTGATGTCACTATGTTACAGAAGTAAATAAAGGAATACATCCGAGGTGTTTCAGGTTGGGGGGTGTGAGAGAGAAACTCCCTTTTGGAGGGAACTGTGGGATTTCAGCCTTTGCACACAATTGACACACACTACAGGAAAAGGAAGACTCCAAAAAGCACGATAGGGCCTCTTTAACTGAATATATAGACATGAAACATTGTTTTGCATATCTTAGTGTCTGCGCTGTAGCTCATGCTGTGTGTGTTTGTGTTGTGTGTGCAGATGAAGACAGAGCCCGTGGCCTCGGAGCCGGTGTCTGCAGCTGCATCGTCTGCCAAGGTGGGGAGTCACGTCCCCACCATCCCAAACGGCTCCAGCACTCAGGGCAAACCACACGAGCGCTCCGGAAAACTGACAGCCGACCAGCTGGCTGCTATCGAGGACGAAGAGCTCCTTGACAAAATGGTACTTCACACTCAAGTTATAATTCTGGATGATTTTGATTTGAGCACCACTTTAGAACTAATGAATGATGTAGCGTTAGTCATGCAGATAGTGTAGTAAATCTCCCCAGATATGTGAAGGTATGTTTGGAAAAGTAAAAGCTTATTGTTGTCTGTATGGAAAATGCTATGTTAGAAGTGCATGAACGAATAGAGCCATGCCACTAAGACTTTTTGTGAAGAATGACTTCATTGTTTTTCTTTTCTCTCACAGCTCGATGAGTCGAAAGACTTTGAGGAGAGGAAGATGATCCGTGCAGCCATGAGAGACCTTCGCAAGAGAAAGAGAGGTAAGAGAACAAAACGAATCTCCTGTCTGTTACTCTCATCAAATGAAGACGTGCTTAATTCTTTTATCCCGACCACTGCTTTGTTTCAAATGACGGTACTATAAGGTGGTCACACTGCCTCATTAAAATCAAGCGTCTTATTTATTTTTCAATCCCTTTTTTTATTGAAATGTTCCACATCATGTCTATCCATTCTGCCCTCAGAGGCCATGCTGGGATGTACTCAAGAGGAAATAGGTATGGCAGGTTGCTGTGCAGTGTGATTTTACAATTAATAATGCCTGCGTTTGGTTTTTTGTGTGCACCATCCTTTCATTATAAGACCACAACAGTTCATCTCCAAGAGCTCTGTGGTGGATGATGAAGACAAAAGGTTGACAGTGTTGTTAACATGCATGAATCCTGTTGTCATACTCACACAACTTTGTAACTGAAACGTCTACCACATGTAGTGTGTATCTGTGTTGTCGAGAGCATCCAGTTTCACAAGCCGTCTGGTTTCGGTGCCGTTGAACCCTAATTAGATTCCCAGATTTGCTCAGTGCACTCACTCAGTGGCATGGAGCATCCAAAGGGCAGACCTATCTATACTTAGTGTAGAAAAGGCCCCAAAGTTATAATTATTGATATAATATATTATTTTATTATACAGAGTTGATACCTGAATACCTAAGTTGTGCCTTCATAGTGGGGAGGGGCTAACCCACGTGTTTTTGGGTGACGTCACACATCGAGGGTAATGTGCGTCAGTAGTTGCAGGAAAGTTATGCATGCCGTCTTAAGTTTCGTATTGTGTGCGTAAATGAACGAAAAACCACACACACAAATATCTGTATGTCTGCCTAAATCAGTAAAGAAGTCGAGCCTCATCTTAGCTCCTCATTTCCTCTATTCTGGACCTTTGGCCTTAAGTGGTGTCCTGGATGAACCTAGTGATAGACACAAAGCTAGTGCCAACACTGAGTTATCTCTAACTCTCCACTACACATAGAGTTAGAATAAATGCATAATAAGTTTAAATGCAGGTACCCTCTCAGGTCAAAGCTTTAGTTTGCACTGCAGGGGCTAAGGTATCACTTTGCCAGTCATCGAGGTCGATCACAGTGTGCTTTTTCTTTTTGATGTTTTTGCTGTACATATAACTTGACAGCTTTGGCTGGGCTCGAACCTCCCACCTGTGGTGTGCGTGTGCGTGTGTGTTTGTTTAAGGGAATTTCACAGTACTGTGGAAAGAATCTGCAAACCTCACATTTAGAAGAGGTTTTGTTTGAATCCACCTCTGCAGCAGTGAGATGAGGCGCTGTCAGTTTGTTTAAGACCTTTTTGTCCTCCTCCTCCTCTTTTTCCACTGACATCATCCCTCCACCTCTATATCCCTTTTCCCCTCTTCTCTCCCCTTCCCCTTCTCCACCCCAGACCAGAGAGAAAAGGAGCGCGACAACCGTCTGCAGGAGATCCGGCAGCAGAGGGAAGAGCGAGGGCAGAAAGGCCGTCCAGGCGTGGGAGCAGGAGAGGTGGGGATGAGGAAGGTGGAGAAGTCCGCCGACGGCTCCAGCCTCAGCCAAGTCACCAAGACGGACCGCTTCGCTTCGTCTGGTAGGTCTCTCTTTCATTTTGTGAAATAGATGGACAACAAATGATAAGGATCATCTTTGTCCGATGTGTTTATAATAAAAATGTTCCTTTTTTAGATGATGGAAGCAGATCTGTACGCAGCACTGTTGTTGAGTCCAGTTATCTGCAGAAAACAGACAGTTAGTCATTTCTTCATCATCATATTTTATAGTCATTAGTCATATTGTCAATATTATTCACATGCCTGTGTTCATTTATCTCAGGAGGGACACTCCAGTCAAAGTCATACAGCTTCAGCTCTTCATCTTCCTCCTCCAACGCAAGCAAAAAAGTGGGCAGGTAAGTTAAGAAACATCACCAGAGCATCTAATCAACGCCTACAGTTTGACCAGTTAACTTACTGTACGCGTCCCTGCCTCAGTGTGTTTGACCGCGAGGACGACACATCGTCTCGCAGCGGCAGCAGTGGATTGGCCGCGGTTGAGCGACTGCAGGCGGAGCGGCGCAAGGAGCTGATGAGAGCTCAGAGTCTGCCCAAGACCTCGGCCATGACCGCCCGCAAAGCCATGATAGAGAAGCTGGAGAAGGAGGGAGGCGGGTAAGAACAAACGGAGAGGAATTACTTCCCATGAAAGGTAGCAGATCAAAGCGTGTAAATATTAACACAAACCTGACTTTTCTTTTAGCCCTGGAAATCAGGCGGTCGCCAAGGTAAACAAGGTCCAGCGCTCCACCAGCTTTGGTGTTCCCAACGCAAACTCCATCAAGCAGATGCTGCTCGACTGGTGCCGTGCCAAGACCCGCTCGTATGAGGTGAGCTCCAGCCCGACAACACAGTGTGTAGGGCTCCTCTTTAACGTCAGCCAGTGGAGCTAAACCTGAAGATTAAGACAAGATAATATTTTCCTTCTATAGGAATGTTTCCATCACTTACCTGGGACTGCCTCCAAATCTAATCAGAATACCTTTACTCGTCCAACAGAGGGGACATTTACATTTGTAACAGCGAAAAGGAGCCAAAGAAAGCCTAATGTTAATAACTAAGAAGCATGCATAAATTAGTAGAACAAATGACACAATTTACAAAATGCACATCCTCATCTGTCTGTCTCCTCCCTCAGCATGTGGATATTCAGAACTTTTCATCCAGCTGGAGTAACGGCATGGCATTTTGTGCCCTGGTGCACAATTTTTTCCCTGAATCCTTTGAATTCGAGTCCCTGAGCCCGAGCAACCGCAGGCAAAACTTTGAGGTGGCCTTCAACACAGCAGAGTGAGTACACACACAACTGTTTCCCATAGGCTGTGTATAAAGATACACATACGGTCTACGATTTGTCCCAGTAACATGTCCGCTAACCACATCAGTTCTGTTGTTGTTGTTAAGCTCTGACTGAAAGTGTGACGGTCCACCGACTATGTTGGAGAAACCACAACACGGCAGTGAAGCTTTTTGTTAATCATGGTGAAGAAAATCAGGAGAAACCAGAAGAAGAATCTTTGCTCTAAACTTCAGAGTCTAAAGCATAAAGACATACACTTTAATCTTCAATCCAAGGTTGTGAATGCACATTGAAAACAAATTCAAACCGACACATTTCCCTTTCTTTGTATCATACACACATCCTTCTCTCATTCCTCTGTAACATCCACTTTTATTCAGTGTTGCTATACCAACATCTACTTGACCCTGAAGTTCAGAGACGGACCCAAAACGCGTGAAACTCCTCGACTGATGTCTCGCTGTTAACCCCCCCTGTCTCTCCCAGGTGTATCAAACTACCTCAAGGCTCTAATAACTCCACCTTTAAACCATCACTCCCCACCTGTCCTCTACTATGATAACTGCTGCGGCCCCTCCATCTGCTCTAAACCAGAGACCCATGAGCAAACCCACCCCAAACCACCACCAGGTTAACAAATACGGACGAGCTCCCGCCTATTACCTCCACATCTCCCCTCCTTTTTATTCCTAATGCCTCTCTCTCTTTCAAAGCCCCTCACCCACCTGTGTGTGTGTGTGTGTTTGCTCACATGCTCTCAGCAGTTTAATGTCCATGCTGATGTTGATGTTATTCACGATCTCGACACCGGACTGTCACCCAACCACAGCCCCCGTCTTTCCACCTTTGTGTTGCACCCCCACCCACTCCCCCAGGCACTGCTGACCCTCCAGCTGTTATCTGAAACCCCAACACACACACACTCACACACTCCTGTGCACCAGTATGTTGTTTTTTTAGAGTCACCATATGGTTTTGTCTTTGTGTGTTTCATCTGCAGAACCCTTGTTGTTTTTTTCACCGTGTCTTGTGTTCTCTGAGAGATCGCAGCCGTATTCAAATGGTCAAAAGTTGCACAGAAAAAAACAACAAGAAGCAAAAAGGCTAAATGAGCATCACCTGACGCTCATTTGACATTTTGTTTGCAAGTGTGTTTGTTTGCCACATACTGTATGTATCGAGATGTTCATGAAGCATGTCAACTCATGGATATATATTTGTGAACACAGAGAATGTAATGGTATTGTTTCTTTTTGTGTCATTTCTCTCTCCCTCTGTCTCCTCACCCTGGATCTTCTTCGTTTGGCTGCTCACCGCTTAATCTGTTGTCCTCCTCCTTCCTCTCTTTCCCACACTTTGTCCACTATCTTTGTCCTGTTTCTTCTTCTTATCTGTATCTTCTCCCTTCTCCTCCTCCTCCTCCTCCTCCTATCTGTTTGGTTCTTCCTTTCCTTCCTGTCCTCCCCTGTCTCTCCCCCCCCCCTCCCCCCTGCTGGGTGTGGGCACAGGAAAATGGTGGACTGCCCCCAGCTGTTGGATGTGGACGACATGGTGAAGATGCGCGAGCCGGATTGGAAGTGTGTGTATACGTACCTGCAGGAGTTCTACAGGGGGCTGGTGACCAAGGGCCTGGTTAAAACCAAAAACTCCTCCTAGAGTCGCACCGCAACTAAAACTGAACCCATGGTGAGAGAGGGGGCGAACCTACAGAGGAACCACACTCTGGTTCTGAGAGATGGGATGGAGGGAGTGTGTGTGTGTGTGTGTGTGTGTGTGTGTGTGTGTGTGTGTGTGTGTGTGTGTGTGTGTGTGTGTGTGTGTGTGTGTGTGTGTGTGTGTGTGTGTGTGTGTCGCTGTTAGGATTTAAATCAAACGTGCTTCAGAAAACTCCTTTATTGGCCGCTTTTGGAAATATGATCCCTCATGTTAATCTGAAGCTACTGAAGTACGAAGTACCAAACATGGTGTGTGTGTCCATGTGTGCACTGAATAGTCAGACTATGGCCCAGGCGGAGAGCCAGGACCATCTGCAACACTTTAAAAGGAACTGCTGTATCACAAAGCTTCAAACAAAGAGGTTGAGAAACAAAGCAGGCTGTGTTGTCTGCTGACTTTTGATCATGTGTGAATTTACAGGTGTTTATGCTTGTTAAGCCTTTTTAAAATCGTGAAGTGCAGAATGACCCCATGTCTGCAGTTCCTTAAATAACAAAACCAATTTTATGTTGTTGACATTTACTTTCTCATGCGTGCCGCTCCTGTTACTCAGGATGTCTGGAGGGTTTACAGAACGTGGAGATATAACGCCACCCTGTGGTCGAAGCATGCTGCATTACTGAAGTTTATTTTTAGAGAGCTTTTAAAGGGGTTTTCCACTCATTGCTTTAGAGAGACACAAAAGGATTTAACAAGAAGAAGTAAAACATAAGCACGCAAAGGAGTTCATCAGTGACTTCTTTTCAAATGTAGCTGCTAACCTATTTGGTTTATGATCATTTAAAGCACCTGACTTATGATTTAAATATGAATAATAATGAGCGATCATCCGATCCTCCACCATCCTGTCTGTCCCCTCCTCTCTCTCACTGTCTCTTGTATGCTGTTCCTCAGGACGTACGCCAACTGCATGCCTCTGCTGGAGGTGGAGGACATGATGATCATGGGTAATAAACCCGACTCCAAGTGTGTCTTCACCTACGTCCAGTCTCTGGTCAACCACCTGCGCAGATACGAGATGTCCATGGGTCGGCCCTGTCCCCTCTGACCTCTGACCTGAGGGTGAAGCCTGGACGTGGCATCATGGACAAGTTGGGGATTGTGCGTGTGTGTGTGCGTGCGTGTGTTTGTGTTCGTTTGCGTATTAGCTTTGTTGGCAGTGGTGATGTGTTTTCATTATTTCATTAACACAAAGTCCGTCTTTTTACAGAAAGAGGGCGCCAAAGTTTTTATAAGACTACCTTTTCAAAGCTTTAAAAATGTAATCTTTTTTTACTCTGCGTTGTACCAGGAACATTTTAACATGCAGAAGCCGTGTTACCACGCCAGTGTGCTACAAAAGAGAAATCTTTGTATAGTATTTCCCCTTTAAGTTATTTTTCACTATCTCTCTGCCATACTTTTGTAATTATAAACCTTGTTGGCATTGCTTTAGGTCATTCCACAAGAAGAAAAATATACCGTTGCGTTATTTGGTTTTTATCTCGGTACTTTTTAATTGTTAAAACACTCTGGCTGCTTGAAGTATTTGAATTAAGTTATTCTGATGTTGATGTAACAGTTAGCCTATTACTATTTAATACAGAGGCACAGGGAAGTCCTTCATTGTTCAAATGGATGCAGCAAGTATGCAGTGAGTAAATCTCACCTTTCTGAACTTTAAAGTGCTACTGAGAACATGTTTAACACTATTTGAACTTTTTAAAAGCCACCTGTATAATATTATTCTAACAGCGAGTATATTTGCGGTCAAACACGTTTTTTTTTATTCAGGTATATAGAAAAAAGAGGAGTGGGCTGAGGTCATTTGGCTGACTTGTATAATGACTTGATTTTTTTTCACTGACGGCATATTTCGAAAAACAAAATGTGTACAGCAGTGCTGCCTCACCCCAGCATCACTGACTTACTGCCACACACACCCACACACTGCTCTTTTAGAGGGCTTCTTATTTATGCTCGATTAGATTTTGTTGAAATATACTATTTTTATTTTGTTAGTGTGTACATCATGCTTTGTTCAAAGCGTCGATAAGCTCAAGCTATTAGGATGTTTTGTTGAACTAATTGGGGTCACTTTTTGGACGAGTTAAAGGGCCTGATGAAAGCCGGCTTTCTGTTTCAACGTGAGTTATCATGACTGAACATAACTGCCAACTGTATATTTTACAACATTAAGCTAAGGAATTTTTTAAGGGTGAAAGACTTTTATTACGCTTGTAAAAAATTAAGATGCCTTTAATAAGAAATTCTGATTGTCTCAGAGCTTAACGAGCTTGATGAAACGTATTTCTTAAAGGTTTTCTTTTGTTTGGAGAAATTATTTGAGATGATTCCACCGCTGCCGAATGAAAACAGAATACCTTCCACGGTGCAGTGAGTGCTGTAAATAAGAGCTTAAACACATTATAATTTCATGTTTCTGTGCACCACAGTCAAATGTGAATTGAAATTAAACCAATTTGAAATGAATCTATTTGTTTGCTATTATTGCTCGTTAGCCTTTTCCACACCACAATCTACCTATTGGCAATTAACAGCCTGCCATCCGTCAAATCTAATCTTTGAAGCAGACAAGAAAACCTAATACTACAACATAGCAAAAACATGAGATTATTTTTTCAAACATTTTATTATTTTCTTTTACAGTGCTTTCACTTGATCCTCTTGTGTGCTTCAGTCCGACCACCAGAACATGCAGCATCAACCTCAGGCCAGACGACAGGTTTCAGCCTGAGGCTTCATTCAGTTTCATAGTAGGTAGGAAGCTGTCAGACACACAAGGGGAACTCAAGAGAGGCAAAGATCCTGAAGAAAGCTCACATATAATGGACCAAAAACAAATGTAAGACATACACATTTCCAGTCTTGGTGTGGAGAGTAGAAAAGCATTCACAAAGCAGCAGATGTTATCGCTGTAAAAATAACAAACATCAATATGTGCAAAATTCAGACTTTTTAAAGGCCTGTTGCTGATGCTAAGATTGTTTCCAAGCCCAAAAGCTGTTCCATGGTCTTCTGGTCTTATTTTGACGTGCATTTCAGTCATCAACTGCATCAACCAGCTGGTCGTGGAGCAGCTTTGGGGCTTGGTGGAAATATGAGATTGCTACTTCAGTTATAGGTCAGTATGCTTGTCTTCTGCGTTGGGCTCTGAGGAGGAGGAGGGGGAGGGGGAGGATTCGTACGGCGGCTCGTCTTTAAACGGGCTGTCCTTGGCGGGGGAGAAGCGGAACTCCTCTGGCACCTCGTCCTCATCTGCAGTTTTCTTGTAGAAACCCAGCTCCTCCAGCAGCTGGTTGATCTCTGAGCGGCTCATGTCAGACAGGGCGATCCGCTGTGCAGGACACACAGGGTTATACTTCAAGTTTAAATGTACTTTTCCATCAGTGTTAGATCTGAAAAACTGTTATTGGACAAAACACAACTTCACATTCATGCTAATGTTGCTCTGTGTCTGAGAGAAGTGTTGATGGAACTGTTTGCTAGGAAGTGTACCATAACACCTCTAAAAAGTGTCATCAGATCTGGCCAAATGTTTTAATGCAGCTATATATTTCAACGCTGTCTTTATTTCACTTAGAAAATGGAATAAGGCAATTTATATTTTAAAATACAATTTTATAATTATGCTTGAAGTCCTTGTGTGTAGGATAGGGCTGTCACAATATCAGATGTATACATGATTAGAGGGGCCCATAAATCCCAAAAGCAAAATAATTATATCTATAACAATTCTAAAGAATATAATAATAATAATAAATAGTTAACTTTGTGTAATGCTTGTCCAACAAAACAAATGTTTTGTTAATTACACTCAAAACCCAAGTGTAGGGAGGGGGACATGAGTGAGTCTGTAACCATGAGTATACAAAAGCTTACAAATGAATGTATTTTATGTGGATAAATTGTTATGCTATAAATTGTTATGCTATAATATATAGATGAACTCAGACGATTGCTAAAAAACATCAGGTAGGATTTTCTGTGAAATGTCAAGATGGGTGGGAAGAGGGAGGGACGGGGTGGCATGGGAAAGGGATTCCCTATATTTTTTCTTTTTTTGTCTTTTCTTTTTCTTTTTGTATTGTCTATATAATTTGTATCTGTATAAGTACCTTTTGTGAGGGCAACATTTTTTTTTTTTTTAAATAAGTTGGTCACATAAAAAAAAAATGCTTACAAAAAGAACAACAGAAATTGAGATTCAACATTATTATATATGTACATATTATTGACATCAAATACTTAAAAAAAATATATATATGACGTGGTTATTGTCCATTCTGGTTAATATTCCAACACGTTGGAGAGGATTTTCAAATTGATAGTATAGTCACAGGTTTAGAAAGACGCCATTCCCCTCACTTTTACTGGTCTAACCTCTGGACTCTGAGAATGAATGGAATGAAATCAACTCAAATTTTCGACCAAAATTGTCACATTATTTTGAATAACAGATGATGTAAGCATTCTCAAGGTCTAGATATACTGTAGGGGTTTTGATCTATTTTAAAACAAACACTTACATCCAGCTCTTCAAAGTAGTGGTTCAGGAGGACGAGCTCAGGGTCGGCCCCAGGAATGTGCTTCATCACCAGATTATGGCTGAGGTAGTGACGGTCAAGGATTGGCACAAAGAGAAAAAACTGTACTTTTTACAACCTGTAAAAGGACATGTTTAAAAAAACAAGAAACAGCAGTGTGCTTGAGTGAAAGGATACTAAAGAGGAATGTCCTGGACCACGAAGGCTTTGACCTGCGGACAGAGGAGCGGATTAATGTGTTTCACTCAGGGATGGTTTCAGTAGCAGATCTGTGGAGGATTATGGGAAACTCTAAACGTGAAATGTAAAATGTTTTTCAGTGAGCCAACACTTTGAGGCAGGGATTAGGCTTCAGTCTGACTCTGTGTGTTGTCCACTTTGTTTATGTGGATTAGAGGGAAAAGGGCCACTTACCTCTCTGAGCCTGTTCAGCTGTCATCCACCACACGACTGCCAAGAGACACAACAAAAGATCACTATGGTTATTAGCAGCTCTCAGAATCAGGAATTGAGACATCACCTGGGTTAGAGGGGCTTTTCTATGGACATTTTGTAGGTTCAGTTTTAAAAGTAGTAGTATTCTTGTTTTCTTCTTTGACTTCTTATTTTTATGAATACTATAACTTTGTTTTTATTAAATAGGAAATGTGAATGTGTTCAATTTGTGATCAATCAAGTACATATATCTATTTAACTGAATTGAACTGAGTTTTTTTAAGAAAAAGAAGCTGGGCAACACCATATTCTTTAAAATGATGTTTCAAAACTAAACACATCTGAAACAGGAAATGGGACATCAGAATAAGGAATTAGATAACTATTATATGTATGTGTCTTGAAGCATACTTTTAATAACCTCTGTCCAAAACAACTTCAGTTAAGTTTCTCTGATGTTCTGGTACCACTGTAGCGTGGCACATTAAGAGAGAGAGGCTTCTGGGAAAGGATCCTAACCCATTTTAGCAGAAATCCGAGCCGCAGGTTAAGAACCGAGTGTGACTAACACAACAATAGCAAGATAACTCAATTTTGTTCTGTGGTGCTGGCAGGCTGGTGATTGGGTGACACCCTGAGGGAGAAATTCTCATGAAAAAGAAAGGTAGAGTTACAGACACTTTTGTTCAGAACCAGACTTTTAGTAACACACCCAGTCCCTTTTCAGCTAAATTACAACTAAGTCACCTTTACCAACGGTACCGTTATTACACAATTGTCTGAAAAGCTGTTGTACTTAAATCGGTACCATACTGTAAACCAATGGAGGAAGTAGTACTCAGATGTTAAGTACTTACAAAGTACAAGTACCAGCGTGTAGGAATACTCTGTTGGCCAGATACTGCAGATTGGCCCATTTCAGAATCATATAACATGTTTTGATTATAATTATTGATGCTTTAATGTGTTTATCAAGGCTGGTAAAGGTGCAGCTAGTTTTAATTCCTTTGTATTCTGCAGGGTAGCTTGTGAATTTACTCCAGATGTGACTAAAGTCTGATTTAAGAGTTGATTATATTTCACAACATTAAACCAAATCTGTAACTAAAAGGTAATAAATAAATGTATTGGAGTTAGTGAAGTACACGATTTACCTCTGAATTGTACTGGGGTAGAACAAGTACAAAGTAGCATAAACTGAGAATACCCAGGTAGAGTACAAGTAACTCAAAATTGTAATTAAGTACTGTATTTGAGTAAATGTACTTAGTTACTTAACACCACTGCTGTAAACGCATGGAGAATATCCATCCAGTTTACTACAGCTCATCTCATCTGCTGGAAGGATCTCTCACGCATGCGTCTAGCACCGAAATTCAAGGAATAAATTCATACATTTAACCAAACTGGGCTCTTTAGAAAAAGACCACCGTACACCTACAACGAAAGTACACCGTCATCGTAAACACAACCAGCCTGCTGTCACGTATGCAACATAAACGCTTCCGTTACTCTACCTCCACCCTCGCTTTCGCCAGTCCTTCCAGCTTCTTCAGGTCCACATCATGGGCCGAGGCGCAGTGGAGCAGACCGACCAGCACCACCAGCCACATAGTTCCGGTTCTGACCACCGAGCACCGGGACCAGCACCTGCAGAGGACCGAAGGTGAGCAACCTGAACCCCGCTGAGAGGAGAGATGTGCAGCTATTGTCACGTCCTCCTGCCACGTCAAATAACTCCCCCCTCCCAGGAAGAGGGGGGAGGAGGGAGAGGAGGTGTGAGGAGGTGTGCGCATCTGTTTTCTACGAGATCTCCATCCGAGTCAGAATCAGAAACAGGTTTATTACCAAGTTGACACGTACGAGGAATTTGACTTGATGTCGTCGTGATAATAAGTAAAACTCAAATAAAAAAACACAGATAGTAAACTATTTTAAGAAAACTATAATAACATAACAAAATATAAAAAATAATAAAAAATGTAGTGCAATATTAACAGTATTTACATAGAAATGGAATGGAATAAAATATGGAATAAAATTCGGCACTAGTAAAAAAGAAAACAGATATTGTGTGCATTGTGTCATCAAGATAAAGTTAATCCCATAACGTTGAGTAAAGTATGGTTAATCCCCCAAATGTTAATGGGAAACAAAACACTGTAAAACCAGTGGTGTAAAGTAACTAAGAAGATTTACTCAAGTCCTGTGTACAATTTTGAGATACCTTTACTTTACTTGAGTATTTCAATTTTTTGTTACTTTGTACTTCTACCCAATTACAATTCGGAGGTGACTCGTATACTTTTACTCCACTAAATTTATTTTATAGTTTAAGTTACTTTGCAAATTTGGATTATCGATGTGAAATATAATCAACACCTAAATAAGACTTTAGTCACACCTGGAGTAAATTCACAAGCCACCCTAGTATACAAAGTGATTAAAACTAGATGCACCTTTACCAGCTAATCTTTTTTTATATACTTTTTTGAAGTAGGCCACAGGGTGGGTCAAACTCAGTGTTGCCCCCCGTAGAACCGCCTATGTATATTTTGAAGATGGCAGGTGGTCTGTTTTATTGCATATAATTGTACGATATTAGCCTTTACAAACATCATTGCATAATTACACTCCTACAGGTGACCATGAACCTGCTCAAGTGGAACCTACTTGAGCAGGTCTCCCTTGAAAAAGAGATCAATGATCTCAATGGGATACACCTGGAAAAATAAAGGTTTGAGATGAACACGGTAAATAATCTGGAGGGGATTGAGAAACTCTATAGGCCAAGCCTACAAAGTGGATGAGTTCCTACATTTAGTAATATTTAACTATTCAAATACATGTCAAGAAATTTGATATTTGCCATTTTAGTTATTTACCACTTGTATGTGGAAGCAGATCTATTTCACACATTTGAGTCCTGACAATTCTTGTCCAGGTTGCTAAATTAAGGTTTATGATCATATTCAGTATTATTGAGATTGTCCAAATGTTAATCAGTGCTGTATTTTAGCCGTCTTGAAATGGAATACTCTTTTTTTTAAACCATTAGATGCGAACAGATGTGATTAGTTGCAAACGTATAAGGTAAAATATTTGACTTACTTTTAAAGTAATTTGACAAAAGACTACAGCATGTTATGTATTATATTAGTAATTTATGAACATTTCTAATAACCTCCTGGATGCACATAAATTATGATGTATTATTATTATAAAGTATTGTTGAGTTCAGTAGAAATACCATAAATAGCAGTATTATAAAAAAACTAAAACGTAAACAGGTTACAGCTAATGTTACTTTTAGTTTCTTTACAAAAAAATGAAATACGAATATGAGAAATAATGGAGATGTGAAATGAGAAAGCCTGATAAGTTATATATATCTTTATTATATGGTCCCAAGCACAAATACAATACAGTATTTATGTTAACTAACATGTTGTCTTGAAGAAGTGCATGTCATCTTTACCACATTTTCTAATGCTTAGCTTTTCCCAACAAACTTTGGCTTATAGGAACGGAAACTTTGTTTCAGCTGTAGGAGGATAAAGGTAAAACTTGCTATAGCTCAAACAAGATGCCTAAATAGACCGGACAACTGAGGCAGGAAGTAGACAAATAAAATAAATAAGTGGTTCAAATCCAGTTTAGTCCTAATTTAATGCTTAGGGGGTCCAACATCAGTTTGCTTAGTTCTCCCGTGACAAGTAAGTAATTTCTGCTCATATCAGGTTAAACCTTGACCCTTGACCCAACATGGTGCTCTTGCTCTTTTTTCAAACTGATCAAATCTAATGGCACCTTAATCAAATATTATACCCACCAAACAAAAATATACTCAGTTGTTTTTTTCTTCTGACCACAAATGCCAATTAAGAGATATAGGAGCTTTTATCTAATTAAAGCTACAGAACGCTTATTGATACCCACCACTAGAGGGCAGTCTCGCTTTATCATAGAATTAACTACATAGAACGGCAATTCAAATCCACACTTAAATACTTAAAGGCAATGTGTACAATAACATGGGCTAATAGTCGGTTGTTGTTTTCGAAACTAGTGTTAAATTGGTGCACGAGTGTGTTGCAAAAGGATTTTGTCCACCAAGCTCGTAAACGGAAGCCATGTTTGTGTAATTGCTTGATATGTCTATCCGCTTGATATGTCTATCCGCTGTAGTTCTGTGAGCTTCTGAGCGGACCTCTTTTAATCATCCGCCGAATCTCGTGCCGCCTCGGACGTCTTGTTAGATTTGAAGGGCACGGGGAAGGCACAGGACACACACTCGTGCTAGTGTTCCTGCAGCTGTGTCTTTAAAACGCAGGAGGAGACATTTGTGTTTCTGAGATGTAGCATGCCTTGCAGATCTGTCGCCAGCATTGCTTCTGCCCCCCCCCGCTGAGGAAGGAAGGAAGGGCTGCTGGGATGCCGATGGTTTCATCTGGCAGCAGGCAACTGGAAAGGGAAGTTCAGTGTGATTTTTAGGTTAACGGTTCACTTCTTCCTCTTGTGGTTTCTTCAACATCCTTCACCGAGGCTATACCGAGACTAACCGACCGCTACACCTGCAGAAACGGTTTAATCCAGATCCACCTGCTGTTCCTCAACCCAGAAGAAGCAAACAGGTAAAGGTGATGATTAATCAGCTGCAAGCATGCTTTGTGTTTAGTCTTGAAACCTATACCTTAAGCACCTAGAATACAACATTAATCGCCAGTGGTGGGGACAGCAGAACAATATCAACACCAATAAACAATATAGGGAATATTATTGTTTACGTTTTTCCCCAATGCTGACATCACCTGTTAAAAATAATCCTCATACTGTGAATGTGTCAACACGAGAAGCTGTGTTCATTGATACACGTTACAGCATATTTTTGTAACCTCAATCCATGATAATCAATAGAAAGATATAATAATGATCACCCTTTTCAATGCTATATATAATGCTGGTGAATCACTTCAGGCAGTCAAATGTAAGTGTACACTCTGGCACTGTTATTTGTTTTCCTTTCTCCTCTTACACATATATGTAAGAATGCATGCACGTGCACACATGTGTCTGAGTTTGATATGTGATGGCATAACCCTATTACACAACACAATGAAATGACCTTCATCCTCTTGTTTTAGCCAGACCAAAATGGTCCTTGCATCAGGAATGTAATTAGGCCAGTTACTGTATCTGCTCTCCTCTTTCAGCCATTCATCAGTTATTTCTGTTTCAGTTTCTACATATTTCCATCTACCACAGATTATAGTGTCCACTGTCATAAGTGTGTGCAATGTAGAACCTGTGTTCTCTTGTTTACATAATTGAGTTTACTCGAATGAAATCCCGTTAGAAAGCCACGTCTTCAATTTCAAGTTTATTTACATATTTTCGTTAGGTCAGATAACTAACTCATGTTACCATTACAGTGCTGCACATTTCAGTGCTGGGTATTCAGAATGCAGTTACATGCAATAATGTAATGTGATGTGGGGGAGGATCCAAGCATAATACTTTGTAGCTACATTGGATTCCAAAACACTGCATTATATTTGATTCCAAATGATACGATGAAGGTATTCTACCTGGAAAGCGGGCGCCCATGTCCTAAGACTTACTACAGAGACCTGGGTACAAATCTGACCTGTCCCCCTATGCTGCATGTTGACCCTTATCTTTTCCCATTTCCTGTGGGAAAGTTAGATAGAGGGCATCCAACAAAGGCAAAAAGCCAAAAAAGACATGCTTAAATGCACTGATTATCACACACCTAATACGTTTTCTCAGTAGTTCCTGGAGGAGCAGCTAATGTACTATGAAGCTGCTGCTGCAACTTATTGCATGTGTTTCTTAATTGGACTTTAAAATATATTTGCTATTATATAATTGTTAATAGACTGAATCTGAACTTACATCCCCCATCATGATTTTGCAGTGCAGACATTATATTCTATGTTGTCAGGACATGTCTTCAGTGTTAGACTTTATGCAGAATCATTTTGACATCCTACAGCCTTGGCTGTGACCTGATCAGATGAGGCCCCCTGGAAACAGGGGAGTGATACTCAGTGGCACTAGGACCTGGAGCAGACATTTACAGCTGTGGCAGCAGCTGCCCTGTCATCTTTGTCCGGGTCACCATTAGTATCCCAGTCACACGGGCATATGGCCCTGGAGGCCCTGCACACAAACCCGCCGTTTGGCTGTAATTTTAACATTAAACATCCAAGAGGTGGAACAAAAAAAAATCATCATTATGGAGTCACTGGGTCAACATAATGCAGCCATGCAAAAGATGTCACTGTGAGAATATAGAAGACTTGGCCTCTGACCATTACACAGACTCGGTCATCGAGAGATGTCTGTGTTGTCTAATGATCCCATCAGAGGAGCCAACACAGCTGGCTGCTGCATGGTGTTTGGGTTACACTGCATCCTTCCTGTCTCTCTCAGCTCTCACGCCCTCAGGAGGCTGCATGTAAACACCATGACACATTTGTTATTATCAAATCCTTCCACTCTCTCCTCAGTGAACGTGAATGGAATAGGAAGTGGTGGTCTGTCGTCACTGCTCCCAAAAAGGAAGTATTTGGCTCTGGTTTGAAATAAATTATCTTTTTTTTGGTTAAAGAAATACTGCACTGTATCAAGAGAAGAAGTGTCTCTGCATGTGCTTCAATTTTAGTTTTTGTATTTCTATTTTTTTAAATCATCACCTCCTCTAAGTCCACATACTTCATCATCCGTTCCCAGCTTTCTATTCTCAAGCATGGTTTAAATATGTCCTCATTCTGTAGTTTCTTCCGGTTTCTTCATATGTTCCCAAACACATTACCAAAGATTATGATCAGAGTCCGGTTGTTATGGTAGTGGCCGCTGGGACTGTGGCATTTTGACGTCATTGATAGTGACTGTGAGGTGGTTGGCTGAAGGAAACAATACAGAGCACGTCGCTGTAAGAACACAAGTGTCACCTCAGAGTGCAGAGGAGAGAGGAACGAAAATGTTTTAGGGCAGGAATAGTGTAGTCTCACAGCTCGATGTGAAAGGAAAAATATAGGGTGGGAAAAACAAAATTGGTGGGGTGTGCAATTCGATGTGCATGCAGTGAAGGTTGGTTAGATGGAAACTACAGTCTGCAAGAAGATGAGGGGAGAGAAAGGATTAAAGAAATGGGACGATAAGAGAAGGAGAGAGAATGGGATTAAAGCTTGGAAAAATAGACAGTGCCTGAGGGAAGTGTGAGAGGATCAATTTAGAGACATTCTGCAAAGAGACAGTGTTGTCACCGAATGGGCTGTCTCGCTCCGCTCTCCCTCTCCAGTCCCTCTGCTCGTTTGGAACCCACCCACTCCCACATGTGCCCTGAAACCCTCCTCCACACTCCCAGCACTAAATGCCATACATGGACCATAGGAATACATTATGCCCAGCCAGGCTCCAGGTTATTGGTGGACTGAGAGACGGGCGTGTTTCTGGGCACATGTGGAGTACAGAGGCAGCTCAGTGAAAGTCATGGCCTCCGTCTCATCAAGGTCATGTGAATAATTGTGAGAATGCTCTGTGGTTTTTCCGTGCCCAAGCAGATAAACCCTCTCTCCCTGCTGACGAAAAATATGTCCCCAATGTACAGGACGTCATTTAAACCACACAGCGAATCAAAATGGGTTGAAACATGCCATGTTTTGACCGTGCACCTGCAGGATTAGGTGTCCTCTCATTAAAGATTAAGAAATGTTTTGGTACTTTCTCACGTGTTTCACTTCTACCATCACGGACTGATGGATCTGGGGCGAGCTGCTGCGTTTTTGTGCTCAAATAAGCTCTTTTCCGGGTCGGACATGTCTGCAAGCAAACAGCAATGTTCCCAATCTACTGTATGGGGCTGTTTTTCTGTTTAGGGATTTGGCATCTGTGCAAACCTCGCTGGTTTTTCATTTTTGGGTCATCTTTGGTGATGAACTAGTAGGGCTGCACGATATTGAAAACATTGCGATATTTTCTTCCCCTGCGATATATATATTGCGGTTTTTTAAACTATATTTAACCGGATGAAGGATTTTAGTCACGGACGTCTGGATCTTAACTGGTTGACTCATCATACCTTAAATCAGGATCCAACATGTCATGATAATGCATGTTGCTTACCCTTAAATAAAGGGTTTCATCTGTGAATGAAGAAGAGAAGAACCTTTTTTTTTTAAAATAGTTCCAGATGGCAGATGTTGCTTTTCTTTTTGGAAGTAAATCTTCATTCTCGCCGGTATTGTCCTCCTGTGCCGTGCTAATTTTTTACCGGTGTTTTGATGGTCTGCAAACTAGCGGGGCGGGGCCTGCCGTGATCTGATCAAGAATGATTGTGATTGGTGGTTTGCTGTGCATGCAGAGCCTGCATGTCACTCACTCAAGTACCCCTGACATGAGAGCCGCGCACGTTTTCCTTTTCTAACAAGCAGCAAAATTTGTTACATGACGTGTTTGAGTTAATTTAGCTACTTAATATCGAACGTCCTAAAAAAATAATAATAATAAAAATAAAAATCGCACGTCCCTGTGATGTGAATATCGCGCATGCGCATATCTCGGTTATCGCCATGACACGATATATCGGTCAGCCCTATGAACTAGTGTCGCTGCTTATTCCTCAGATAATCCATAAATGGTATGGCCATGTTTTTCCAATGAATAACTATACGTGGCAATCTTTGCTTCACATTTTTTTTCTTTCATTTACACCAATATATTTGATAAAACTGGGTGTGCAGCAGCCTAAATCGCTATTGTGTCCTATCAATCAGCATGAGAGAAAAGACAAGCATTCATTTTTTCACACAATAATTGAATGGATTGTTATTTAAATGAAAGGGTTTAAATTCCTCCTTTATTTCTGTCCTCCTCTGCTCACTGTCAGTCTGATCTCCCTCTCTGTTGTTGTTTATTCCATGCTGTTGACTTTGTTCTGGTCCTCATGTTAGTGTGTGGCAGGTGCTCTGAGCTGATATGAACTGACTGAGCATCTCCCTGGTTACTGGAGGACTGGCATGCAGCTTAGGCACAAGTAGAGAGGAGGATCAACTGTGACCACGCTTTTTCCCCGCTAAATCTCAAAACCAAAAGCTCTAAGTCTAAGAGGTTAGGACAGCAGGAAAATATGTCTCACCTTGTCTCTCTAGTTGTGGTGTATTTTGGTCTTTCAAATGTCTTCCTGTATCAATATGTGCAGCTTCATCTGCCCACGACAAGGCAGGTAATTGGTCACAGTCACGACGGTTGGAGCCTCAATGATTCACTCAGTTGTTCTGCTGGGTCGATAGGATCCCATGACAGCTCTGCACTCATCAGCTGAATCGACTTGTTATTTGTAAAAGATGCTGCATGTTGTGCTTTCTGCTGTTCCAGAAGGAAAAGCTTCTCTGTACCCCGTCTCCTTTTTAAATCAATTTTCTTTTCAGAGATTCAGAGAATATGGTCCTGTTCCCTAAATGATTCCCTCAATATAGTTTTGATGCTAAGCAAGAATGTAATATTAAGGCTGAGATGTGTAACAATGATGGATTGGACGGATTACATTACATTACATTTAGCTGATGTTTTTATCCAAAGCAACTTACATTAAGTGCAATGCACCATGTAGATACAAACTCAGAAGAGTGAGATTGTCCTGCAAATTAATTTAAATAGGCTAAACCTTCTTAAGAGCTATATACAGAAACAAGAATGTTTTTTTGAATGAATTAAAATTCCTAAAGTTCAATCATAATGTGCATCTTGCGAGTATAAACATTCCTGCTTGTTTTCTTTGTCACAGAAATCTTAAGAAATGGACCAAGATAATCCAAGCCAAAAATCCCAGAAGCAAGAAGATGACCCAAATGAAGCAGCATTAGCTTTGACAAAAACTTCGGCTCCAGCCACAGCATCCCCGGCCGGCCAGCACGGCAGGCCTCGGCGGCCCCAGAGAAGCGCCAGAGTCGAGGGCTCTGTGGACATCTCAGAGCCCAGAGCTGAGCCCCAAGCTGAGCCCAGAGCTGAGCCCCAAGCTGAGCCCAGAGCTGAGCCCCAAACTGAGCCCCAAGCTGAGCCCCAAGCTGAGCCCCAAGCTGAACCCACTCCAGTGGCTGACCAGGACGAGTCCACTCCTGATGGCCCTCTGGCAAGTCGCCCTAAACCCTCTCGCCCTGGAGCGGTGAAACCCTCAGGAGAGCGCATCGGGCCTAAAGTGGGTCCTAAAGGGCCCGGCCACCACCCAGTGAGGGCCGCCTCCGTCCCCCACCCAGTGGCCTCTCACCAGAACCTCCATGCTCAGAGGGCCCTCTCTGTGGCCGGTACCGCTGACACTCCACAGGCCCAGACTGTGGAAGACTTCAGGCAAGTTCCTTCATTCGTATGTGTCCCAACATTCATGTCTCAGCATGTCTTAACATTGCCTTCAATGCTGTCACAGCAGAGAAAAGTAAGCCTGGCACACATAGCATTTATTTGTATACACTGACAACACTGCGAGGATACATGATTTTTATGGTCATAATTATTAAGCACTGGTATTTGTTTCTGTGTCAGGAAACACTGGGAAAGCTTCCTCTCAATTCAACAACTAAATGGGTCTAAATGTAGTAAATATTCTCTCCTTAATCTTTGTATCAATATCCCAAATATTGTTAAGATATATGCAATAGCTTTAAATTACAGAAATTGCTCAATTATAGGGAATATTCAATTTCCATGTTAAGTCTCAAAAGGGTGACATATCTTTACTTAAATGGCCTCTGTTAGGTTCATATCTTTTTTTCATAATGAATCTTACTTTGTTTTAAGGGTGTTATGACTCCCTTGTGTTATGTCTCCCTTGTTTAGTAAGTAATGACTCACTGTTTAGTAAACTAGATTCCTGGAACAGATTGCGTTGCTAAATTAATGGTAACCTGTCTTGTCACACAGATAAGAAAGCTGCAGCTAATACAAAGTCTGGATTAATGTCATGTAGTATTAATAGTCGCAAACCTGAATAACTTTTATTGGGTGGTTAATAGGTATTTATATCTGCTCACCAAGCTGCTGCTGAGAGAATTGTCTGCTGGAAGGGAACGTCTAATGATAACACAGCACACATAGTGAGTGCTCTGCTTTTAATAGAACCTTATGGAATTTGCTTGGGAACTGGGCCTCAAGTGCCCTGATCAGCTGATATAGGCACTTAATGGCCCTTTAGTATCTTGCTCAATGTGTTTGTTTGTTACATTTTGTCCTCCAGAGTTAGGATAACAATGTTAAGGTCAAGCGATGTTTTACTCATACAAGGGTATACCCAGACGTGTGGGATGATAGCCAAAGCCCAGGTTTGTGTATAGTGGACGGGACTGAAGGAGCTGGACAAATTACATTACAATAGTTTTTATTGATACAAGGGTTCTGCTGGCTGTAGGTGATGGGGTTTGTAGGAGATGAGAGTTATTAAAATGTATTATTATTACAACAGGCTGCACATCATCACTTGGAACGTGGGTTCGGCCACGCCCCCTGATGACATCTCTTCCCTGCTGGGGCTGAACGTGGGAGATGGAAACACCGACATGTACATTATCGGGTGAGTTTTCTGTGTTGCATCAAGTTCCTTAACATAAAAGTGTTTCAATATGCAAGTCCCACATCGACACTTTAAAGAAAGTCACTAATGAACAGCCGGCAGGGCCACTGCGAAATAAAGGCTAGAGAAGTAATTTATTGGTTCCTTAAAAGTATCTTATACAGGCTTCTGCTATGATATATAATGTTCAGCAACTCCAAATATCAGCAGATAGTATAAGGCTATGTTTTTTATAGTCAACAAATACATCTAATTATCCAAAAACTATGAAGAACTTATCACCATCGGAGCGCTTTGTTTTTAATTCTGTAAGAATGAGCAGAGGGCGGCTGGTAGAAGCAGCTTGTTGTGTGAAGTGTTACTCACGAATGTTACTCACAACAAACAGCGATGCTTTAGAGACTTGTCTTTGTCTCACGCGCTGCATCTATCCAATCCAATCCAACTTATATAGCACTTTAAAACCTCCAGACCAAAGTGCTGTACATAGAGATACATAACATATAAAAGCATACAGCTCAGCTCACAAAACATAAAATAAATACATTTAAAATAAAAGATACAAACACAAAACAAACCAGAATAAACGTAGCAATTTAAAAATAAAAAACATAAAAACAATAGACCACAATAGCAATAAAAGCAACAATCTACTTGGTTCCGAATGCTAAGGAGAAAAGGTGGGTTTTAAGACGGGATTTAAAAACAGACAGTGTGGGAGCCTGTCTGATCAGCAAGGGCAGGTCGTTCCACAGTTTAGGGGCGGCAGCAGAGAAAGCACGGTCCCCTCTGCGCTTAGACTTAGTTGTTGGCACCCTCAGGAGCATTCTGTCTATTCTGTTAGTTACTGCCGCATGCTCAACATATATTTCTGAAGTTCCTTCACTTGTGTGCCTCGGGCTGCAGCTAGCAGGATTTATATATGTACATAGACAGTATATTTGTTTGCTATGTTTATACATTAGCTGTTGATGTCCCTGCATTACCATTGTTAAAGCTCACAGCAATTAGTCAAATGCATTTCATAAACGGTAGAGGTAGCATATTAGCCTGCCATTGGTGAATCTCTGTAGCCTATTGAGCTGAGTAGTAGTAGTAGTAGTAGTAGTAGTAGTAGTAGTAGTAGTAGTAGTATTAATAGTAATAATAGTAGTAGTAGTAGTAGTAGTATTAATATAAACATAAAAACCTCTTCTGTGGTGCTTAAAGCAAGTATGAAAGCTGGTCTAATATTAGCCCTTCCTATCCTATGGCAGCCGGGCTCAGTTCTACGATTTCCAACGATAATGTAATGGTTAATTCAAGATACATTAACATAGCTCCCCCACATCAGCTCTCCTTTCATCTCTGCTGGCTCTTGACCGTTGTGTGTTGTTGTGTTTTTTTTTTCTACAAGGCTGCAGGAAGTGAACTCCATGATCAACAAAAGGCTGAAAGATGTCCTCTTCACAGACCAGTGGAGCGAGGTCTGCATGGAGAGACTCAGCCCCTTTGGTTATGTGCTGGTCAGTAATGGCTTTTATTATCAACACATATGCACACTCTCATAGCAAACAGATCGGATTCATACCAATTACACGGGTTGATGAGATCTCTGCTTGCCTGCTGTGGATTCAGCTCCTTCTGTCCCCTGAGCATCGGATGGGGTGATTATGTACAACAGGCGTGTAATATCAACGTGTCTGCCATCTTCCTCTCTCTTCATAGCTCATAATGCAAAGTCAAGCTGTCTCTTGGTTTTCTCTCTGTGTGCTTTTATACCTGCTTGCTTTCCTCTTTTTTCTTTATCTTACTATCTTAAACTGCTTACATCTACCCACTGTGGGACGATAGAATACAAAAAAAGGCAATAGGTTTAATGTAATGCTCATATTGAATTTTGACTGATGTTGCAAATACTTTCTAATATATATTCCATACGTGACACACAACATTTCAGTTATGGCCATATTTCTGATAACAACAGGGAAGTTAGAAAGCTATATGTAAACCCTCACAAACGTTTATTTTGATCCATTACTGTTTGTTGTCTAGTTATGTTCCAGGTTTCATGTTTTTGAGTGCTGTGGTTGGTGTTTGTCTGAAGCGCTGTTTGTCTCTGTGGGCCCGGTGAGCAGGAGAGCGTGAATCAGCTGTGGAACTGAGAGAGCTAAACAAATGTCTCCCAGGATGCAGTTTTATTTTTGGGTCGCGTTGTTGTCAGTGTTGATGGGCCTTTGACAGTGAGACTGATGCCTTCCCCGAGCTATATCATGGTCGACTACATTAGCTTAGCTCTCTATGATCATGTCGGTGTGGCCTTCTCATGTTCTTCATGCGGACATTAGCGCTGGGAGATGTGTTAGTTGGAGTTTGTCTTGAGTAGAGGAGATCTTTGGTGTAAAAATGTGTCTAGTCGTCTTATTTTCTGCTCTTCAGCTTCTCAGGACTCGTCGTCAGGTTGAAACTGTAACCGCTGAGAGAAAGCTTTTTGCCCTCCACTGCTGAAACACAGCGGCGCCATCATAGGGCTGCTCAATTAATCGTATTTTAATCGCAATTACGATTTTGGCTTGCAACGATTACAAAAACAACGTAATCGAAATAAAACGATTTTTTTAAATTATTTTTTAAAAACATTTTTATTGGTTTTTCAATTGAATTATACTTAAAGTTCAGGGTAATCAACTGTTAAAAAATACTGTTCACATTTTTATTTCCAATAAATCGATGTTTTCAAAGCAAATGGATAATCGTTTTTAATAATCGTGATATCAATTAGGCAAGGCAAGGCAATTTTATGTATATAGCACTTTTCAGCACGTGGCGATTCAAAGTGCTTTACAGATTAAAAGCAAAAGACATTTAAGAACAAATACATTATTAAAAAGGCATTTAAAAACAGGCATAATAAGCAAAGGTAATGAAATAAATTATTGACCCAAATAATCGAGATTATGATTTTTGCCATAATCGAGCAGCCCTACACCATCAAGACATTTTTTCAGTCCGTTCCCCAAACAGCTGCTGATCGTAACGACAATTTATGTTTGTATAAGCTAAAATGTAAATACACAAATTAGCAAAGACAGTCTATTTCTAGCCCTAATCTCTAATTGCAACATGGCACACTATTGTTGCAGCAAAACTCTCTGTATGCCTTGTGATTAATTAGCCTGACTTTTTCCCACAATGTGTTCACTAAACATGCTATTAATTACACAACTAATAAGCTGTATATGCATTTTAATAACGGGTAAGAATGTTTAGGTTGGATCATATTTGAAAGATTTGTAGACATTAACAAATAACAGAGATCTTTCTTTTAGATAAATGCAAAGTCAGGAATTCCTATTCCATTTCAAAGACTTACATCTTAAGCACATAGCTCAATGCATCAATCTAACAGAAGGGGTCTTTTTAATAATCCAGCAAATGATGTCTAATGTACATATTGTGTAAAGAACAGCTGAGGATGATGTTGATGTTTCCGGGTTGTCATTCTATTAGTATAGACCGGAGTGAGTAAGCCGTTAAGCAGCAATGAACTTCTTTCAAAGTCTTGACTCACACTTGTTACTCAGTTCTTTAGTCATGTGTGTGCTGTACAAGAGCAAACATACCTTTTAACTTCCTCTCGCTCCTTCACACACACACACACACACACACACACACACACACACACACACACACAC